GTACCTCAAGGATACGACCGTGCCACGTAAGCGAGATCCGAGGTACCTCAGTAGATGTCGCGGAATCCACCACCCGGGTTGCTTTGCCCATAGTTGTAAGCATACGGGCATACGACACCTCCGCCCAACTCAGGTCACCTATTTGCCCCAAATCACTGACGCAAAAAAGTAACCCAATGGCAAAACGCTCTCCTCGATCACTCAAAGTGGTGACGGAAAGAACGTGAGCAATGTATATCCGAGCCAGCTCCTCAGGTGTACACTGTCGGTCGAGCTCGTCATCCGACAACTCGTCGTTAAGAACCGAGTACGGACAAGACTGCGCATACACGTGGAGGGCTGACGCAAGACGATCCCCCACAAGGTCGCGAAACCTCTCGTCTGACCCCTTAATGAACTCTATGACTACAGGCTCGCCTCCGAAAGGAAAACCCGTAATCATAGAGAAATTGAAAGGGGTGACCGTCATCTTTCCCCATGGAAAGTGGAAAGTGTTGGTGGAACCCTACCAAAACTCCAGCAATCCATGGAGGAAAGCTGACGATGCAAGCTGAATCGATAAATCCTGAAGAGCCGCTAGCTGGGAGCCAATCCCAGAAAGTGCTACAATCTCCTTTGCCACCTCGGGCAAACTCTCAAAACGGGCTCGCAGGTCACCAGAGCCGTGCAAACGTATGCTAGGATCACTCTAAATAAAAGAATAAAAATTTAAAAAACGGTTATGGTTTAAAAAGGAGAAACAAAGGAAAAGAGAAAGAAACGAAAGCGCAAAAAAACTCAAGATGTCGCGCCATCCTCTGATCGAAACGTGATGGTCTGGGTCCCAATTAAGAACCCTAGGGTCCCTATTGGGAGGAGTCTCCCAAACCACATCCTCCTGGCGACGTCGATCGGCCGCGACGCATTGCTCTTGAACCTCCTCTCGAGGACGGGTCACCCTCTTCCAAGGGCGAATCGCCTCGTCCGGACCACCGAGAATCTCCTCAGCATCGAAAAATGGAGGCGAGTCCATGCTATGATGGATAAAGTGTCTTTAATTAGTTTACTTTATTTCCTAAACTAAACAAATATACGTATTCTAGACCCATTTTGGCAGCATAAAGGCTGCCGATAGGGTAAAACACAAAAATCGAATGCTACCCATTCTAGGGGCTACGATACCTGTAGTCAAACTAAGTAAATGGAGGCTTCTAACACCCACAAAAGCCATCCTATACCAATTTCAACTAAGTATTCAAGGGATTTTATCCCAAAATCTCAAAGAATCAACTACTTTTAGACAAATAACAGTAATCTAAACACAATTATCGTCTACCGAACAATTTTGAAGTTCAAATATGGCAAAAATAAGCTAAGAGTATGTTTCGCGCCATTTTTCAACAATTCAAAAATCACAAAAATGAATTATGAAAGTAATATTAGTTCCATCACTATAATATACTTCATAATAAGCAATTATAACCAAAATGAGCAAGAAAAAGCAATAAAATCAAGCAAAATTCGAAAAAAAAAAGCAAGAACGAAATTGAACAAAGAAATGCTCATACAAGGTTCAATACTTAACAATTTTTCATGAAATTTGTTGCAAATAACTCCTTAAACATAGCATGACAACATAGAACAAACAATTTCAAGAATAATGGACTAAATTAAAAACCACCAAATTCGAAATTTGGGGTTTAACGATTCGAAAATCGTTCGAATTCAGCTGAAAAAGAACAAATTCTAGCAAAAAACTTACATTGGATTACGACAAATATGAATTAAGGAAAAAATTTGCTTCCTTTAGCTTCAAAATTGCAAAAAACTGAGCTTCATAGAGAGAGAAAAGGTCGTAAATGGCGAAGGAAGGAGAAAGAAAGTGTGAAGTGAAAAATCGCGTTTGCGATTTTCACTTTACTGACTCAAAATCTGTTGCGCGTGACAAACCAGCGCAACTTAGAACGATGCGTGCCCTTGGCCAGCGCGACCCTCTAAGTTGCTCCCGGATACTGGTCACTAAAGACCGGGATTTCGATTTTGATCCGTTTGATCATTTTTTAATGATTTTCGCTCGTTATTAGACATAATGTCGCGCAAATTATCAAAATATTTTTTAAATTGCTTTGCATATTGTAGTTTGTTTTCTTCTTTGTTAGTTTTTTGCATCATTCTTGCATGAACACCGTGATTTGTGCCTTCCCTAAGCATACGTTTTTGAACGTTTTTCGTAAGAGTGCCTTAAGACGTTCTGTGGTGTTGCTTTACATAAAAGCACCCATAGACAGGTTTGTCATTTTACTGTATTGATGTTACAAATGTCGGGTTTTCTTCTTTTTTCACGTCCGAAGCAAAAAGGAAGGCGTTTTCATGCAGCGTAAAAATGCAAATGGCGTATCGTACGACGCAAACTTGTACGACGTAGGTGTTGCGTAAAATTTCACTCAGCCCAATCTTTGCGAGATCTACCTCTCGGGACTAAAAGGTAGATAATTACTGTAGGCGTTAGCTCACGAGTCGACAGGCGCGCCGAACCTTCAGGAACAGGCACTTCTTGAATGGGAGCAAATACGATAGTTAGTGCGCTTACTAACTTACCAAACAGTTAGGGTGTCAAAATCATCCCCTGTATAAAGAAGCGACGAGACGATGTCGCGCCTATGTAGTCACGTGCCCCCATTCCTGAGACACGTGTACTCATCTTGTGGACAAAACTTCTTAGAGAGTTGTTGACTTTCTTCCCTCTCACTAAATTTGGATATATGCCTCCAGTCTTGAGACACGTAGTTCTATCTTGTGGACTTCCGACTCGAATACCGGACCATTTCGGCTCTAATACCGAAAATCATTTTTCATCTTTTACTTTGTTAAAGTCGGGCTAAAGATTCAATGACATATCGAGGGACTTTAGATCAAAGATGACACGATTGAGAGGAAATCTTCCCCTTTTATCCTTTTAAAACCGATCTTTTCTCATGACTTGACATCACCCAGAACACCTTTACTTGTAAAAGCGTTCTACAATTGCAAAGGATCAATCTAGATTCTTTAGCGCGTTAAGACTAGGTAAAAACTTTTTCTAGCCTTAATAGCTACTTGTTTCAAACACTTAGCGAACCAAGGATTGTTTCGACATCCTTAAACATTACTGAAAGATTCTTTATCCTTAGAGAACTTCGCAGAATGAGCCTTGGATTTATTTCCTTGGCTACTTTGATCATCGTCTATTCTAGACTCGATCAAAGTGGGGGCTAACTGTAGACATCTAATTTTGGCCTCTTGTTCCGACAGGAAGTGCAATAAAGATAAATAAAACCATTTTCGTGTTGGATCAAATTGAAGAATACTTATGGATAACTAGTTAAGCCACAAAACACAAAAGATTAGCCCAAATTAAAGAAAAATCCAAAACAAAGGTCCAATTAACTAAACCCGATCATAATTAAGCTTAAGAGCATGCTTAAAACCTAATAATCACGGATTTAGGAGCGCCTAGGTTAAATCTTAGTGCTGCCGTAGAAAAAGCCACGCGCATCTCAAAGAGTCGCGATGGGCTGTCGCGCGCAACTATTTCAGTTGCGCGCAACATCCAGCGCAACCTCCAGAGTTGCGCTGCGTAAGATTTAGAATTATACGAAAAATATGAAATCGAATCTTACTATAAAGCCGCGCGCAACACAGTTAGTTGCGCTGCCCCTAGCAGCGCAACCCAATCACTTGCGCTTGGATGTCGCGCGCAACTCATATTGTTGCATGCGACACCTGTTGCGACAGAATGCTCGAAACCCTAAACCTAATCATTCCCTATAAATACAAGCTTAGACCGAGGATTAAACAGACAAAAAAAACCTAAAACTCTGGCGAAATACTTATGAACTTGTGCAACCTAGCCCCCTCTTGTCCTAAACACTCACCCTTTCGATATTTTGTTACTACGGTGGAGGTTCCCCAACAAGAAGGAGTCCATAAGTGTTCTAAACGGAGATCTAGCAAAGAGAAATGGTAAATTCCCCGAGCACTTAGTTAAATCACATTTATTTTCTTGTTTAAAAAGACTTTAATTAATTAATTAGAGTTGTTTGATCACCTTTAAAATAATTAATTAATAAATTCCACATAGTATCTTGCGTTAAATAAAGATTAGAATTGAATTAAATAATTGTTGGTTGATCACTAAAGCCAAGGCGAATATTGTTTATTTTCTTGTTCTTTTCACGAATTTGATTAAATAAGAATAACGACATTACGATGTAATTTCTACGTGAATTAATGCTTGTAAATAAAAATCAACTAACATAGTTTTAGGTATCGCGTTGCATATATTGTTTGGTGATAAAATTGTAAAAAAGGAAGAGCTAATAGAGGCCGCACTAGGGCTAGGATAACGATTCCCCTCTAAAAGGAACGTTATTTTAGTACCCTCGCTCCCGAATTCATTTCTGGTTTATAGACCAATTTGGGCATGGGTAAACTTATGATTCATGCTAATTACTCCATGAACTCCACATGGAAGAAAGGAATGAACGAGGTTTATGAGTTTTTCCTAAAACTCATTGGCGTCTCCTACTTGTTTCTTACTAAAAAGCGTAATGATAGAATCAATTCTAATTCAAGGTCCCCCAAACAGTCAGGAATTCAAATCCTACTACACCCTAACAAGTGTAAAGTCCTAGGTTTTAAGTGGCCAAGGGAATTTAAAGATAGTACCCCTTACAATGGGATCACCCTCCTTACACATAATAAGCCTACTGTGGTGGACGACCCAAAACCGAAGGAGCAAGGCTGCGGTTTTGTTGCTGCTGGGCTGTGGGAAACAGGCAGGGTTGTGAGGCCCACTGCCCGGGCTGTTCCTGCCAATTCCCTAGGGCTCCCCATTGAGGGGCCTGCTGCCAATTGGGGGGTTAAGGCTGGGCCTGCCATTGCGGAGGCCCAGCAGATTGTTGCTGCTGTTGTTGATTGTTGTTGTTGTTTTTCCCCCATCCTCGGCCCTTCCTTGGTTTACTGCTGCCACGGCCGCGGCCTCAACCACCCTTGCTGGTGCCGCACTGGTGGTCTGCCGCCGGTGGCTGGGTGTTGCCGGAAGTGGTGGAGGTAGTTGCCTGAGAATTTTGCGCAATAAGAGCGTGTTGCCCGGATTCTTCTTGCTTGTTCTTTCTCGTCTCCTCCAAGATGAACATAGAGAGAGCCTTATTAAAGGTAGGGATAGGCTCAGTTTGGGAGATCAAGGCAGCGACGGTGTCAAAACTCCCTTTAGAAAGACTCGCAATCAATTGGAGTACCATTTTTCGATCAGAGACCAGGTTGTCGACGTTGCTCAATTGATCGGCAAGGAGTTTGAGATGCATACAGTAATCCGACATATTCTCAAATTGCTCAAGCTTGGTGCTGCTAAGCTGCTCCTCTAAATATACCGCCCTAGTATGCTTATTGTCATGAAAAATTTCCTTGAGACGATTCCGTAATTTAAGCGCCGTAGCACCCGATTTAATGATGGTGTGTAGGTCTTTGGATATGGAAGCATAAATCCAATTTTTGACAATAGCATCTAACCTCTTCCAAGTTGCATCATCAATGTCCGATGGACGAGAAACCTTATCATCGATGTGATCAAGAAGGTTGAAAGCACACGCCTGAATCTGGAATAATTCAGCCAAGTGGTGTAGTGAGCTTCCTGCTGATTGAGGGTAACGGTCATAAGATTTTTGATGTTTGTTGCGGCATAAGCTGGATGGAAGTTGTTTGAGGGAGGAGGAGGAGGAGGTGGGGGGGGGGGAGTGTCATCACCGGCCATGGAGGGCGAAGGAGGTGTCTGACCAAGTGTGGAGGTGGACGGCTATGGGCCTAGGATCGTGTGTAGGGTTTGAGAGAGAAGATAGAAAAGAAACCCTAAAAGGAATCTGATACCATGTAGAATAGTGTAATTCTCCTTAGCGAAGGCTTTCTCATTAATTGAATACACGTAGGATTTACAACCTAATCATGAGATAACCTAAATACACAATATATATTTTATAGAATATTCACAAGATCATATAAACCTATTATCTAACAACAATGTTTAATTATATACACATATATCTTAAGAAAAATTATTTTTTAATCTCAACTTTGGCCCATTATACTCCGTATTAATTTAATAATCCCAACTTTTCAATTATTCAAGAATGATCACAACTTGGAGGCGTTTTCTTTCTATTGGTTGATGAGTGGTGACCCAATGAAAGGGTTAAAAAATTGCCACTTATCAAATGCTAATTGATCCAAAAAAAATAAAATAATACTTCGTATAAAACAAAAATGAAAAAAATAAATCCCAAGCAACCTCCCAGCACAGCACAATCCCCCTCCCTCCCCATCTTCGCTAGTAACTAGAGGCAGAGCTAAATTGGTGCACGTGCATCACCAGCCCAAAAAAATGAAGTTGAATTTTAAAATAAAAAAACCGAAGAGACCGTTTTTTTTTAAATGACTGTTGTCTCAGATGCTAGTCAAACAACCGGTCTCTAAGATCATTTTTATTATTCTTAATAGTAATGGGTAAAATAAACCGGTTATATTAGACAACCGGTCTCTAATGTCATTTTATCATTCTTAATAGTAATGGGTAAAAGAGACCAGTTATATTAAACAACCGGTCTCTAAAGTCATTGTACTTTTTTCTTACTACTATTAAAAGTAGTGAGTAGGTATTATTTGTTTTCTTTTTTTGGTAGTGACTTTGACTTGTTAGATGGATTTTTTAAGTACTTTTTAGTTGTAGTATGAATATTTGTGTCATATTCTTGGATTGAAATCAATATGGTTGTTATATAATTTTTTTTAAAATTTAATTTTGGATTGAAAACAATTGTGAATTGAACTAGACCCCAATTTTTTTTTTGTATTTTATACTGATCAACAAATGATGGTGACTCACAACCCTGAAAATCTTAGATCCGCCATTGTTAGTAACCATCTTCTCCCTCTCCAACTTCACAAGTAATTAACCACCTTCTTTCTCCTCAACTTCACCAGTAACCACCTTCTCCTCCCTAGCCCCACCAAAAACCACCACCTTTCCTTGAAAACCACTTGCAACCCCACCCTCTTCCCTTGAAACTACTCATAGCCCCACCCCTTTCCCCCCCTGAAACAACCATTTCATTTTTAGAAGTGTCCCTTCTCTCAAAACAACCACAACCCCACCCTCTCCTTCCCTTGAAACCACCTTAACTCCATTCCCTTTGTCGAAATCACCGTCGTCGCACCTCCTTCCTCTGAAACCACAACTTTCAAGGTTATATTGGAATTTGGACCTAGGTTAAGTTTCAAGGTGATTTCAAACCATAGTTTGGAGGGTTGCCAGGTGGTTGGGCTAGTTTTCATCGAGGCTGAGGGAGGAGGAGTCGATTTTTGGTAGGTGAAGAGAGGATGGTTTTGGATGAGGGGTTGCGGAGGGATGACATCGGTGGTGGGGTGGGGTTGTTTTAATTTATATATATTTGAAAAATTACTTTTAATTGTTTGGTTTAATCAAGGCTTGACATGTGTAAAATAACTTATTATAATAGGATTGTTGACTTTTGTGTGACCGGTCATGATCTATCAGAAGAAAATGCCCCAAAATTGAAATACTTAATATAAATAGCCTAAAATTAAGATTAGTAAAACCAGTTTTTCATACGCAATTTATCTTAATAGTCAAATAATAAAATTGACAAATATAACAACTTTAAATGTGAACGATTTACCAAATTGGTGTTGGAAAATTAAAAAATTACTAAAATAGTGTCCACTTTAAAATATTTCTCAAAATAGTGTTCGTGTAGGATTGAAAAATCCAAAACTAACTTTTTATCGCTTTGTGATTAAGTCTAAATAAAAATAAAATCATTGGAGTCTATTAACTAGTTTTCTCAAGATTTTAATTCACCTTTGTTCCAAACATTGATGTTAAACGCCGCATCACTACCTTTTCTATATTCATTAGAAAAACATGGTGCTAAGAAAATTAGTTTGTGTTTAGAGATTATGTTTTTGACTTAGGGCATGTTCTCTTACGTTGAAATTCAGTTCAGCTCAGTTCAGTTCAGCTCAGTTCAGTTCAGCTCCTAATTTCCTTCTCTTATAAAATATTCATTTCATCTCCGTTCAGTTCAGCTCAGTTCAGTTCAGCTTAGTTCAGTTCAGCTCAGTTCAGTTTAGTTTAGTTCAGTTCAGTTCAGCTGAGTTCAGTCAATGAGAACAGGCCCTTAGTATCTATTACTCTATAGAACTAGACAATGGGTTTCATGAACACTATGGTGATTGATAAGTGCCCTTGATATTTTAACTTTGATTAAATAATGCATTATGTTTCATGTTACATATTTTTTGACAATTTATATCCATAACAAATATGCTAGAAATTATTTTTATACATTTATTATTACTACTTCGTATTCAAAATCCATTAATCCATACTCTAGCTATTGCTTATAATATCCATTTTTATTATTAATAAGATACAAAAACATTAACGATGAATTAACGAGGCTCAAGGCTAAAAAAAATAAAGTTATCATAAGCATTATTTAAGATATCTTTTGCATAAATGAAAGTTTGGCTTGGAGAAATTCCATCAACTATATAGCTGATGTTCTCTTTGATTTATCAAGATTTGAGTAATAAATAAAAGGAACACTCTTCCTGTAAAAACATAGAAAAATAAAAAAATAAAAAAAAATTGATTGTATACATATTTATTAGGATTTTCTTAAAAAGAATTCATCTCTTCAATGATTTTTTTTACCATTACCTAGCTTTGTAAATTCCGAACCTGCATGGACATTATATTAAGAAATATTTTTAGGTGAACACTATTCTAATAATTTCTTAATTTTTCAACACTATATTGGCAAATCGTTCTTTAAATGTGTCAATTATTCTTAAACGAAAAAAATAACCACTTTAAATGTGTCAATTATTCTTGAACGAAAAAAGTAACCCAATAAGCTGTAATAATTTATGCAGGCTGTTACCCACACAGGCCAAGCCACTCTCAATCTCAAATAACACAGCAGTAGGAACTAGGAAACCCCCTTCAAATAAAAACCACGAACTGTCCATAAAACAATTTTCAGAAATCAAATGTCTTTTGTCTGTCCGAAACTACATCACTTCAACGGTCACTTTTTCCACTACTCACTGCTCATTCGGTCATTCTCAGCACAAAAAAGAAAAAAAAAATTACTCAACAAGAAAAAAATTACAAATAAACCAGAAACCTGAATTCAAACTCAAACTAACAAAGATGGCGAATTTTATCATCACTTTCTCTCTCTTACTCTCTCCCCTCCTAGCAGTAACCTTTCGGCCCGTTAAGGCCCATTTAGAAGAAAAAGCAGTAATACAGCAGCAGCAGCTATGGTGTGTAGCAAAGAACAACGCCGAGGATTCCGCACTTCAGCAGGCCTTGGATTGGGCTTGTGGGCCAGGTGGTGCTAGCTGTGGCCCAATCCAAAATGGTGGGCCTTGTTATGATCCAAATGATCTTATTGATATGGCTTCTTATGCTTTCAATGATTATTGTCTTAAGCATGGTATGAGTGAAGAGACTTGCAACTTCAGTAACACTGCTGCTCTTACTGCTCTTGATCCAAGTAATTTCTTTTTCTTTTTCTTGATTTTTAAAGCTACATTCTAATTTTGTGAATTGTAAATTGTTAATTTTAATTAATTTATTTATTTATTTATTGGGAATTTGCAGGTCATGGAAAGTGCAAATATGCTTCAAGGTAATTCATAATCTTTAAAAGTTGTTAAAATTGTTTAATTTGATTGGGTTTTGAAGCATTGTTTAAAATTGTTATTTGTTTGTTGTCAATTGGTAGTCAATTTAAATATGCCCTTTTGATTAGGATAAATTATAGGGCGTTAATTAGTGTTAATTGCTTAATATTAGAAATAAGAGGGTCTTACAAATTTTTATTTGTTTCAATGTAAGGGAAAATGTTATGTTGTATAGCGTGTACAAGCTCTATTTTTAATGTTGAAAATTTTTAATCTATGGAACTAATGTTCTAAATTGCAATCCTTAGATTTGGGAGAGAGATGGAAGTAGTCTTGTTATTGTTAGAATGTCTGTACTTAATACTCTTAACTTTACCATGGATATTTTTGTCTGGACAGCCACTTTTAGCTAGCTCTTAAATCTGTAGATTTGTATGAGTTGGTTGATTTCGTGTATTTGTTTGTTTGCAATCACTTACAATGTGGTCGGATATGATGATTCGATGAGAATGGAATAGGAGGGATGGATGGACAATGATCAATACTCCTGCAACCATTATTGTCTATTTGTTTTAGTATACAGTATTTTAAATCAATTACCTATTGCTTTAGGAATTGGCAATAATTTTTATTTCTTCGGAACAAATTACAAGGATCAACTTGTTGCTTATTTAGATGTGGTAAAAGATGTAGTATCCTATTGGAGGAGCTCACTTCTTGTGCTTTCAAGAAATTTAGCTAACCAAGCATCTTCAAATGAAAAGTTTTCCAATCTTTACAAATGGATAAATGCTGAACCGTATATATTGCATGTTACTAAGGTGTTTTTGTCTCATAGTGGTAGTGCATGATACACCTTTCCATTATTAATAATCAGTGAAGTTGACACTTTGCCTTTGATATCCTTACGCTCCCCCTGGAGTGAAATCTGCATTGTGCTTAGTTTTGATACGATGATTGTTTTTACCTTGTGAATGGATATATCAATGGAGATCTTTAGGGTTGTTGCAAATCAGGATAAATAGACTCAAAAATCATTAGGGTTGTCTTTTAGAAGAAAGTAGGGGGTTACATTGATTGAGCACAAGATGAGAGAATCGGTTAAGATGATTTAGCAATGTAAGAAGGAGACCAAGTGAGGCTCCGGTAAGGAGGCTTGAAATGTTGTAATCCCTTTTTGTGTGGCTTCTTACAATGTATATGGATGGGAGGTATTTAATAGACAAGGGAGGGAGAGTCTTATATTAGGGGATGAGAAGGCAAGAGACATGATGTGAGGGATCCAAATTTCTTGTAACTTGTTTTCGAATATAGTTTATGTTGTAAATTCTAAAAAGGGGTGATTAATTTAATGACATGAAGAATAGTTCCCTATCTGGTAGAGGTTATTCTGAAACATCTTTAGACTCATGGTTTTCCCACATGGATGAAGAGGTTATGTTAATAAGGTAAGGTCTGTTTTTCATCAAGCCAGGAATGAGAAATATTTGAACTGCAAAAACCAGCATTAATTTGCATTATACTGAAGTTTGGTGACATTTCAATGAAGTTTTCATAGTGGAAGAAGAAATGCCTTTGGTAATAAGTGAAGTTTTTAATTATTCCTCAATTTCCTTGACATTCCAATTGTGACATGTCATAGTTTTGACGTGATAGCAGTTTTCTTCCTATCAATGGTACTCTGGTGTGGCATCTGGCATACAGCTTTAATATTTTGATTTCTTTTATTTTCAATTTTATTGTATGATTTTTATTTTTGCTTAAAGAGAAACGCTAGGAGTGTTAATTTTTATCTGTTGAGAACTTTTTATGCTGAGGTGCTACATAGTTTCATGGATTACAAATCCGCCAGGGGTGTGTGTTCTGAAGTGTTATCAATTGTTCTCTGAATATGGAATGTGAGTGATTTTGTAGAGCAACCAAGTAAGATGCAGGCTCATCTACCTTCAGCACTTAGGAGTATATAAGTGTAAGGCTCCTACTGAGTATTTAGTAAAAGACAAGTGATCATTGTATCACTGAACTGACTATTATCACAGCAAATGTTTGTTACATTAGCTACAAGTAGACTGCCAGTTAAAGAGACTATTTATAGAACTTGAGGATGAAGCCTTTCAGCCTCTGGGACAGATATTTTCTATAGTAGCCTCTGAATTCAGGATTTTTCTTATTTCTCAAAATTCTCAAACATGTATATGAATTAATCAGTTGTCACATTGCCCAAATCTAATTAGGATGTGGTATAGTTATACAATCCAATAAAATCAATAGGTTTGATATAATTACTGTTTTAGGACTTGACATCCTAGTATTGTGTATGTAACTATGTATGCAATTTATTTTTTTCTTTTTCCTGAAGGTGGCAGTACTTAATTAGCATAATTAGTTTTTATGTAGTTATACTTTAGCTTTATGGATTACACGCAAATTGTTTTTTTTTTTTTCCCATCCCATTATGCCATCAGCAGTTGGAGAATTTTGTTTTCTCAACATCCTAGAGTAGTACATGTGACTGTAAAATCTAAATGATGAGAGGACTTATTTAGAAAATGCGATTTGTAAGTAGTTACTTCGTATTATTTTACTTTATAGGTTCAATGCCACCTGGTTTTTTGTTCTTGGAATATGATAATGAGTATGGACTACGGAGTAATGATTGTGCAAAAATTTTAGATGCTATCATGTTTATTAGTCATTAGTTTATTTTATGAAGCTTTGTTACACGACCATTTGGTTTTTAATTATAATTTTTGCTGTTGCTGCAGTATTTTCACTGCTGCAAATTCTACCACCCCTTCAACTGCAGGAGTTATCCCAGGCAGTGAAGACTTGAACGGGACCTCTCAGTTTGCTGCAATAGAGGTTAGGACGTTAGCCCTCTTTAATTTGCTTCTCGCAATCTTTGTATTCTCACTATAACAGACGAGAATTGGTGAGAATTGGATGTATTGAGTGAAGCAAGTCAGTGAAATAGAGCTAGGCTTAGATCTTGCTAATATCATTCCTGGAAAAGTTTTGTTCCCGGCTTTGATTCTTGTATCTTTCATGAACAGTTAATATATTTCGTTGGCACCTATCAGGTTTGTAAAACCAATTAATATATTTTTGTTGTTGTGCAGTGTAAATTAGTTCTTATTCCCTGCCCTTCTATTGGATTCAAATCAGTGATGTTTTGTGCGTTTTTAACTTTTGATTAACTATGATTCAATTTCACTGTTGTGACCCTCCCATTCCCACATCCATAGTTTACAGGCATAGTTGCGGCGCTGTACAGTTTCTGTCCTTTGACTGGGGTTTAAATGATTTTATTTTTCTTGCATATTGTTCATGATAGCTATGGTTCAAGATTCAATTACCAAATTGAAAGTGGTCTTTTAATTCTCTTACGAAGTACGAAGTATATTGTTAACAAAGGTGAGCCTATCCCAGTTAAAGAGGACAGGGTCACAGCTCACAGGGACTAGCAAACTGATAACAGTCAACAGTTTAAAATTTCCAGTAGAAAGTTTATTAACAGTTCTGGGTCAAAACTATTGAATCTTCAGTTACTATTTATTTACCAATCTCAATTTTGATATATTGATATATTTACCAATCTCAATATTGATATATTGATTCCTACTTGGCCCTATTGAAGGAAAGATATCACAGATAGTAATTAAGGAGAAATCATCTCCTAAATTGCAGCCTTGATGAATGAGCATGATTGATTACAATCAATCACAATCTCCTATCTTAGTATATATATTATTCTAATATATTTTAGTGCCATGTATAGTATAGTCTTAACTTTGTAATCTCTTTATTTAAGGTAGTATGTTGACTTATTTTCTATAGTGGTCACTCAAGGCTTGTATATAAATACTCTGTAAATTAATAATACAAAGTAAGCTTTTTCTCTATTCTTTATATGGTATTAGAGCTACGATTTTTTTTTTCCCTCTTTATCATCATGTCTTCTGATCATCAAGCTCTTATTCCCAACCTTAATGATCCTTCCAAACCTTTCACTATTTTTCACCTTCACAATGCAATTAAGCTTACCCCTACCAACTATATCGCTTGGAAAGCTCAAATTCAAGCCACGTTATTAGGCTATGACCTATACAAATACGTTGATGGTTCTTTTCCCTCCCCTCCTGCCTCAATCAATAATGCTGAAGGTACCTCCCAAGCCAACCCTGCTGCCCTTACTTGGTTTCGCCAAGATCGTCTCGTCTATGGTATTCTTGTTGGTACCCTATCTCAAGAGCTTGTTCCTCTTATTTCTCAATCGGCTACGGTTCAAGAGGCTTGGAATATTCTAGCCTCTACCTATGCAAACCCATCTCGTGGTCACTTCAAACAAATCAAGGATCATTTAGCAAAAATAACCAAAACAACTCAAAGTATTTCAGAGTACATGCAAGCCATTAAGCAATGTATTGATCGTCTTGCCTCCATGGGAAGGCCTATGGAACATGAAGATATCATTGATAAGGTACTTCTTGGTCTTGATTATAATATTTATAAATCTGTTATTGATGCGGTCAATGCTAGGGATGCCCCTATTTCCTTTGAAGAGCTCCATGAGAAGCTCATCACTAAGGAACTTATGGCTGCATCATCAGTTTCATCTACTCCATTCCCTGCCACGGTTCATGCTGCTCAATACCGTGCTCATGCCAACACCAAACATCAACATCTGTCCACACCGGCTCCCGCTCTCCTTCCTACTCCAAGTAGTAATCAGGTCCCTCGACAACAAAAACCTTACCTCGGCAAATGTCAATGGTGCCGCAATCAAGGTCATGCTCTTGATCAATGCACAACATTCAAGGCTCTCTTCCCCACTATTCGGGTTCCTACTGCTACCCAAGCCCGGGCTGTACAAAAGGGGTATCATCTGCCTCATGCTCATCTTGCAACTGCTAATGTCCCGCCATCCAATACATGGCTCTTAGACAGTGGTGCGTCTCATCAAGTGACAAATGATCTTGCTAACCTCTCCCTTCATGCTCCTTATGATAGCACCGAGGAACTTGTAATTGGTGATGGCTCTACTCTACCCATTCAAAACACTGGTTCTTTCTCTCTCTCAACCCCATCTAAATCTTTAAATTTTTCTAATGTCCTACATGTTCCGTCTATCTCTAGAAATATCTTATCCATCTCTAAATTTTGTCAAGAAAATAACACAAGTATCGAGTTCTTACCCTCTTTTTTTCGTGTTAAGGAGCTTTTGAAGGGCACAGTCCTACTCCAAGGACCAACTAGAGCCGGAGTCTATGAATGGAATCCAAGTCCTCCTCGAGTCTACACTACTCAAAAATTACCGATGCATGATTGGCATCATCGTCTTGGACATCCATCTTCTTCTATTCTTAAGACTTTAAATTCCAGTTTTGATTTAAAAATTTCAGATTTTGCTATGTCCTATTGTAATTCATGCAATATGAATAAAAGTCACAAGTTGCCCTTCTCTCTTTCTACTTTATCATCAAAAGCCCCTCTTGATCTCATTTTTACTGATATATAGTCATCTCCAGTTTATTCTTACGATAATTACAAGTACTATGTAATTTTTGTAGATCATTTCACAAAATATGTTTGGTTCTATCCCTTAAAGAAAAAGTCGGATACACATGATGTTTTTCTACGATTTAGAGCCCTTGTAGAGAAATTCTTTAAGCGTCCTATAATTCAAGTGTTCTCGGACAATGGGGGTGAATATGAAAAACTCACTCCATATCTCTCAATTAATGGCATTTCTCATCTTACTACTCCTCCGCACACTCCTGAGCTAAATGGATATGCGGAACGTCGACATAGGCATATTGTCGAAACTGGTTTAACACTCCTCTCACATGCCAAGCTCCCTCTTACTCTTTGGCCTCATGCCTTTGCTACTGCTACATATTTAATAAATAGACTCCCTACACCATCACTTCAAAATATATCTCCCTTTCTTAAACTATTTCAAACCCCTCCAAATTATCATAAGTTGAGAAATTTTGGATGCTTATGTTACCCTTGGTTACGACCATATTCCTCACACAAATTAGACCCTCGCTCGTTACCTTGTGTATTTGTTGGTTACTCACCATCTCAAAGTGCCTACTACTGTCTTCATCCTCCCACACAACGTATATACACATCTAGGCATGTGAAATTTGTTGAGGATGTTTTCCCATATCCTGATTTATGTCCATCCTTCACACCTTCCAAAGCCACTAAAGTTGATGAATGGTGTACAATCACTATTCCTATTCTACAACAATCTAGCGGCTCCTCTAGTGGACAATCACCTACCTCACCCTCATCTCCTAATAATGCTTCCGCTCAAACCCACTCTACCTCCTCTTCTCCTCCTCCTCCTCCTCCTCCTCCTCCTCCTCCCCCTTCTCCTTCAACTAGAACGATTGTCACAAGACTTCAAAACAACATTATTAAGCCTAATCCTAAGTTTGCCCACCATACCACAGTTGGTGCTTCTTCCTCTGAACCAACAAACATTACACAAGCATTAAAAGACCCACAATGGCGGGCTGCCATGACAGATGAGTTTAATGCTCTCACTCGTAATCAGACTTGGGAACTTGTTCCTCCCCACTCTACCCAAAATCTAGTTGGTTGCAAATGGGTTTATCGCATTAAATATAAATCGGATGGGACCGTTGAACGCTATAAGGCTCGCCTTGTAGCTAAAGGTTTTCATCAAAGGCCGGGGATCGATTATTCTGAGACTTTTAGTCCTGTTATCAAGCCCACAACAGTTCGTCTCATTCTCTCTCTTGCTGTCACTAATGGTTGGTCAATTCGTCAACTTGATATAAATAATGCATTTCTTCAAGGCACATTACAAGAAGAGGTTTATATGTCTCAACCACCTGGATTCTTAGACAAAGATCATCCCTCTCATGTATGTAAGCTGCACAAAGCAATTTACGGGCTCAAACAAGCACCACGAGCTTGGTATCAAGAGTTTCGTACGTTTCTTCTATCTTATGGGTTTACCAACACCATATCAGACCCTTCTCTATTTATGTATCGTCAACTTGATACCACTATCTACCTACTTGTCTATGTTGATGACATAATCATCATAGGCTCTTCTACTACAAGTCTACAAGAATTTGTCACTACTTTGGCTACTCGGTTTTCCTTGAAAGATCTTGGTTCCTTATCATACTTTCTAGGGGTTGAGGTGCTTCCTCATGCCAATGGTTTATTTTTAAGCCAGAGGAAATATATTGAAGATCTTCTTGTGCGAGCTGCCATGAGTGAAGCTAAACCAGTCCCAACTCCAATGGTGACCCATCCCCCACTTACTCTCACTGATGGCACCCCCTGCCAAATCTAACAAAATATCGAACCTTAGTTGGTGGCTTACAGTACTTGTCACTAACTCGTTTGGATATTGCCTTTGTTATCACAATACATGCATAAGCCCACTGACTTGCATTGGGCTGCTCTCAAACGATTGCTACGCTACTTGAAGAGCACCTTAACTCATGGAATTACTCTTCACCGCAATTCTCCATTAAGCTTGCACGCCTATTCGGACGCGGATTGGGCTGGTGATCGAGATAATTTTGTTTCAACCACAGGCTATATTGTATATTTAGGCCGCAATCCTCTATCATGGAGTTCTAAAAAGCAGCAAGGTCTAGCAACCTCATCTACTGAAGCTGAATTTCGGGCTGTAGCATCTGCTCAGAAATTTTATGGCTGCAATCTCTCCTTTCAGAGCTTGATATCAAGCTACAACATACTCCAAGTATTTATTGTGACAATTTAAGTGCGACTCATTATTCGGCAAATCCGGTTTTTCATTCACGGATGAAACATTTAGCATTGGCATTCCATTTTGTGCGTGAAAAAGTCCAGCTTGGTGCATTACGAGTTCAACACATTTCGGGTTCGGACCAACTCGCTGATGCTCTAACTAAGCCACTTGCTAAGCCACGCTTTCTTGATTTATTTTCCAAGATTGGACTAGCTCCAAGACCGTCCATCTTGCGGGGGAATATTGAAGGAAAGATATCATAGATAGTAATTAAGGAGAAATCATCTCCTAAATTGCAGCCTTGATGAATGAGCATGATTGATTACAATCAATCACAATCTCCTATCTTAGTATATATATTATTCTAATATATTTTAGTGCCATGTATAGTATAGTCTTAACTTTGTAATCTCTTTATTTAAGGTAGTATGTTGACTTATTTTCTATAGTGGTCACTCAAGGCTTGTATATAAATACTCTGTAAATTAATAATACAAAGTAAGCTTTTTCTCTATTCTTTATAGCCAAATTAAAAACTATACTTTCTTACATATATATTCAGTTTTGATCAAGATCTACCTTTGCTCAAACTTGAGTAATGTACAAAAGTTTCATAAATGGATATTTTGTCATTTCATGTTATTGATCCACAATGAAGATGTCTATTAGTGTAGGATTTAACACAAGTACTTGAGGAGAATTCAAGGGTTCGAGTAACATAGTTCGAGCTAAATACGTTTTCGTTCAAGCGTGATGCAACCCAAAAGACTACTAATAATATAAACTGATACTTGTAGCAAGAGTTATCATAGTTTCTCCTCAGTCTTTAGTGTTATAAACTAAAGCAAGCAAACTATTAAAATTTAATCAACAAACAATTGATATAATTGGCTGATTAAAAGACATTCTAAGTGTGAAAGAAAAGATATCAGCTGTTTTACGTCATTGACAAAATGCCAATAATATTTGGTCACAGCTGCATAAAAAAACAATTAGCAGCTGATTCTTTATTGCTCCAGAAAAAAAAAATGAAAAAAGGGAGTTAAGTCAATAGGATTGTTGAGGTTGTGATTTGAAGATTTAATAATTAATTAACGTAATCCTTCATACTAACTCCTAGAAAAACATACAATCTGATTATATTAGTTCACCAAATAATGTACAAAATTCTGCTAATCTTTTGGTCGAGACAAAAATTGAAAATGTATGCTTATGTTTATACTTAATCAAAAAACTAAATTGAAAAACTCTTTTTCATGTTCTCATTTGTCCAATTGATTGTATATTTGTAATAACTTTTTTTTCTTGGAGTTGAATCGCATACAAAATATTAAATAATGATACTATTGTTTATAATGTCTGCCTATACACTAATATTAAACAAACAGAATTTCTGCAAAATGTCAGAGATCATTGCTGAATTTAATTATGTGGATCAATTTCTTCACAAACTTGCATTCTGCTTGAAGATAATGATCTTTCCCTGCCAATGATCTTCCTAAAAGAGCTCATTCGAATGCTTGACGACGATGATCCGCTTCCAGCATTAATAATCTTGCTAGGATTATCATTATTATTGCCTGAGTATATTACATCCTGAATATTATGTTCAAGACCTTCTGAAGTAACAACCACTACCTCGGTCAGGTCACTGGCAATGGATGGTTCTCGGTCTAGCGGTATTAACTGAGGAGACACCTCAGACCGACAAATCGGGCATGTTGCTTGGCCGCTGAGCCACTGATCGATGCACGACATATGAAATACATGACTGCAGTTGGGTAGACGCCTAACATGCTGATCCTCCTCCAATATGCTCAAACACACAGAGCATTCAATCTGTTCGTCGGCTTTTTCCATCTGCTTGAACAGAGTTGATGGTAGCTAACTGATGGCTGTTGGATCGAGTCCGGACTTTGCTGTTGTGGAATCACTAAGCTGCACCAGGTCACGGTGGATGAAGGTTAGGGTGGGGTTACGACGTGGGTGGCGTAGGACATATCTAGCATAAATGTGAAGAAGTGTGACTAGGAGGATAACGAAGCAGAGGGATAGTATAGCTGTTACCATGATCTTGCTGTTAAGGTCATAGGTGATTCTTTTGGTGGCGTCGTGTTGGTCTCCGTCCACATTCATGGCGCGATTCGAAGACGGGAAAAGGTTTGAGTGAAGAAATGTTGGAGAAGCTAGGAAGTATGCAGATTTATATGCAATTCAACTGATGTATGAGCTTTGTTTTCTAAGAATGTGAAGGGAGAAGGTGACTAATATTTGTAATTCTTTGAAAAACTGATCTATAAAAAAGATTGACTGTTGACCTTTGAATGATGACTTGGTGAGATAGACTTCTAACAATCTAAGTTCAATTCTTTGTGTTGTTTTAAGGCTTACTTTGGTATGATTTGATATTGGGGATTTATTGACTAACTTATAATACAAGTTATAGGTCAAGTATAGTTTAAAAATCTAATAGTTATTTGAATGGAATACATACTATATGTCTTAAATTCATTCATTCTTAACGTAAGCTATAATTTCAATTTTGGAGTCAAACACTCAAACTTCATAAACATTGAAAAACAACATTCATATGAAGCGTGTTCAAAAACTTTTTTAGGGCCTAATCAATAAAGTTGGCTTCATTTAAGGGTCATATAGGATTTGTTGCATTTTAATTAATTTTGAAGTGCGTTTCATTTAAGGGTCATATAGGATTTGTTACGTTTTAATTAATTTTGAAGTGCTTTTAGTTCACCTTTTCTTGCATTCCAAAGTAAAAAGAAGCACAAACTTTATTTTGTTGAAGAAGTGCTTTCTTGTGACATTATTGAACTATTTAATTAGGTCAGGAGATCAAAAGTAAATGTCTATGTAAGATTATAAAATCATGAATAACAAATGGTGCACAAATAAAGCAAGTAAGTACACTTATATGAGAATACATCTTAGTAGTAGATTATATTCAATCTAACCGTCCAAAACATTCTACAGTAATGGCAAAATTATAATTTCGTCTGCTGATATATCCCCTTCTCTTTTTTCACTTTCACTGATTTTTTTCTCTCTTTAAAATTAGGTTTATCTCTCTCTAAGTTCCATCCACTCTCTACAAACCATAGTTCATGCTAATTCGTGAATCAAAAAATGGATTTGAATCAAATACTACCAACATCTCCTGTTATTACTTATGAAAGAAGGTAGAAAGTTTATGTTTACGAATTTTGATTATATTTTTTAAAATTTTTCTTCTCTTTTTTTTGTTAATTTTCGTTTACTTTTTTGTAGATCAATCGATTCACAATGTATGGATAAATCTCCAATACAAGTCATTTGTCCATCAAATCAGTAAGTAGCAATTTTATTATGGTTTAATCATTTGATTTTTGTTTAATTTTTAAATTATCATGTTTGAACACGAAAATTTGGGCTCAGATTTGCTCGAATTTGGGAGTGTTTGGCTCGAATTTCCTGAGCATATACATTGTTAGTTAAATTCCATGGGTTTTGGTGTCAAATTTGTTAGGTTTTGGGGTCGTTTTTAGAAATCATCTAAGAATGCTTATAAACTGTTCGATAAAATGCCAAGCTGAAATTTAACTGCATGTTGCGTTTACTGATTATGGAAGTCAATATTGCATATAGGCAGCAAGTTTTTAATTATTGCAGTAGATCCCCTAAAAAAACAGTAAAAAAGTTTAGTGCATGAGATAAGCTGAAGAACAAGAGGCAACATCAACCTCGGCAGGGCAGCAGCAGCTGCTGCCTTGTTTGCAGTAGCGTCGGCAGGGCAGCAGCAGCTGCAGCCTTGCCAGCAGTAGCCTCGGCAGCCAGCAGCAGCTACCGCCTTGCCTGAAGAAGCCTCGGCTGGCAGTAAGATTAGCAAGTGTACCTTGTTTTTGATATCTGTTTTAAGCTTAATCTTCTAACATACTCTTCTTTTTTTACTTTTCAAATAGTGATGGTGATGAAGCACTTGTCAAAAAGAAAAAAAGGTGATGGTGATGAAGCTGTAAAAAGTGATGTTCAGTGGTCTAGAAGTCCAATTGTGGAGTCATCCTTACTAAAAGCTATAAACAATGATCACATTCAAAGGTTGGTAATCATCAATGGATACTGATTAATTTTTTATGCATGTTAGATACGTTCTAAAATTTTACTCATATGTTCTAAAACTTTACTTGTATGTTCTAAATTTAATTCTAATTTTAATTTTTATTTTACTCACATTTTAGAACAAATAAACTTACTGTGGTGTATTAGATTAACTAGCAGCTCTCACCAATTGTTGAAAAATCTTTCTTTCATTGATGGGGTCCATTCCTGCCTTCTTTTGTATCTGAGTCTTATTCTTGCCCTCTCTCTCTCTTTGCTTATCATACATGTTTCTTTAGTTGGTTTTTTAGGAATATTTAAAAAGGTAACTTGATTGAATTTTTGATTTGTTGATTAGTTTTTAGTTGCTCATGGCAGTTAGGGTTAGGTCTTTTTGGTTTTGTGTGATCTATGTTAAGATAGAACTAGAAATGCATTTTTAGTAGAAATGGAATTAAAACTAATGGAAGCAAACTTATCGGAATCGTGACATGCAGAAGCTTTTGCCAATAAAATATGATACTCAAGATAATACTCTTGTAGATTCCTTGTTTATCTAAAGGAAAGGAACAACCCCTTGATTGAAACCTAAGAAGTAAAGCTTTTGGCATGCTAAACTGTCAAAGAAGTCTTTGTTTCCCAGTGACAGAATCTTTTCGTCCTGCAAATTGATACAAATAAAGGTCCTGTAAGTCTAAAGTCCAAAATTTTCAACTGAAAGCTCCTTCCATCCTGAAATATTTTTGCAATTCCAACTGCAGTGAATTTTACAGAGATAGTATTCTTGGATGTTTAATAAAGGGGCAAACTAGAAAAGATAATCATCAGAATATTTGGCCTAGCTTCTGTGTGTTTAATTTGAGTTTAATGTGAATCAAGCACTCAGGTATTATTGCCAAGAAACCGTGGTTTAATGTTAAGTATTTTATGAAGAATTTCTCTATTCTCTAATTACTGAAGTACAGCAGCTTGGCAAACAACATTAGCTTCTATTTACTGCTTTCTTTCGTTCTAAATTTTTGTACATATGTTCTACATTATTACATATATGTTAGTTCTAATTATTTTTCCCTTGTGTTCTAACCTTTATATATTTTATATGTCTATGACTTGCAGTGATAATTTTAATAATCTTGTTGGTGATGATGCTGCTACAACCTCTAATCAGTTTGCTACAACATCTTCTCGAAATGCAAACAAGAGTACCAAAGTAGTTAATAAAGAAGGTGATCCAATTGAGGGGAAACTTAAAGTTAGAGCTAAAGATGTTCCAAAAAACAAAGCAATGAAGAAAGAACCAAAAAAGGAAGACAAAGGGAAAAAAGGAGAAGAAAGGTTGATGAGAGTGATTCTGATGATGATATTGAAGTTGTTCATGTAGTCAAATGGAATGTAGAGCATTAAATCAACGAATTACTCCCAAGAATTTTATGAACACCGTGCTTAAAGATTTGCCAAAATCTCATAAGGCGGCTATAAGAAAAATTGGATTTGGAGGTTTCTTAGATTTGGATTTAGATGCACATAAATCTGTGTTTTGCTCTAAGCTTGTGTCGAGTTTTGATTGTGATAGGGTGTCTTTAGTTCTTGAGAGGAACCAAGAGATTGAACTTACACCCGTAGACATACATTTGGTTTATGGATTGCCGATGGGAGGAGAAATTATTAAAGAGCCTCGACAAGAGGAGGATGAAGAACGGGTTGAGTTTATTAGACAATGGAGATCTTTTTTTGGGATAAGTGGTGGAAGTCCATCAAATTTTGTGATCATTAATCGGATAGAAGAGTTAAAGACGGAACCTGTTTGTGATGAATTCATTTGGCATTTTGTAGTTTCTGTTGTCAGTTGTATGAGATCCACTGCCAACCCATCGGTAAATTACAAGTTCTTGTATAGTTGCATGGATACAAAGAAGATCGAATGTTTGGATTGGTGTGAATACGTGTATAGGAGTTTAAAATCGTCTGTATCGGAATGGCAAGGTGGTTCAGCTTACTTCACTGGTCCATTGCCTTTCTTAATGATATTTTTTTTTTTTAATATATTTCACATTTTTATAATATTTTGTCTTTTTCTAAATTTGTCTTTGTTTAATTAACGCATTTTTTTTGTATATTTGTATTAGATATTCTATTTCGATCGTTTGGAAAGATCTAAAATAAGCAATCCAAGGCAATTCCCACTCCTTTCTGTTTGTGTAGGGAATATTTCAAGCATTATCTCTAAACTTGAACCCCACTATGATCATACACTAAAGTACTGTGGCATCCAAAGGAAAAGAAGATAGAGCAAAAGAGTCACCAACAAGTTTTAGGAACTTGTAAACCGCCCTGAAGGTTACACCCTTAACGATCTATGAGATTGTCAACTCCAATAGGTCTGGAGCCAAGACTGGTAGTTCGGGAATTGAACCTGCCCTAATAATAGGCCTCTACTTTATGCTGATCGTATTCATGTGCGCTTTCTGATTAACATGCAATCAATAGGTTTAACCCTAAATCTGTTTATCTATGTTAGTTGAATATTAATGCACAAACAAATCTATTATTGGCGATCACTTGAGTTATAATCAAATTAACCCTAAACAAGATTATTAATTATCTTATTAAGCGTGATTACAAGTACCAATTCCCTTTAACATGCATAAAAGGTGAGATCAAGCAATAACAATAAATATCAAGCGACATAATAATAATCATAAAATTATATTAATCATAATCATTAATAATCATAATCATATTAAAGCATAAAATTAATAGCAAGATCCTAGGCATGATACTAACAAGATTAATAACAAACCCTAACATGTCACTAAACAATAAAGATAAAATATTTAAACCTAACATGATACTAACATGAATATTAGGAAAGAAATAAAAGGCATCACAGAAATCACAATTGTCATATTTGATATTAGAAATTATAGTTATTATCCTAAACATGAGACTATGAAGATCAAAACGCCCTAACATGACACTACGAATCATAATAACAACCTAGACATGATTTCTATAATATCAATAAAAACATTAAAGCGCTTACTTGGATGCCTCGTACCTCTTTCTAATAACAAAATACACGCATTAGTAACTTCAAGGAAAATCATAAATCAAACAATTAAATTAAATAATTGAAAGAAAGATTTGGGACAAACCCTAAGAAATTAAAACCTTTCACGTCTAGGGCGAAGGCAACTTCGAATTATGCTAGGTGTTTCTAGGTCTTGTGAATGCGGAATTTTGTGTAAAGGGTGGTTTAGAAAAGAGAGAGAAAGAAAGCTTTAGCTTTGAGAGAATTAGAGAACTAGGGAGTTGATGATTGTAGATAATTGAAAACGGAGTTTTTAGGAGGCTATTTATAGAGAAAATCAGCCAAAAAGATAGAAAAATGAACTAGAGTTCTGGCGTGAAAAAAACGGAGTTAGCGCCAGACTCTAACGCTAGCGCTAAGCGCCAAGCTTAGCGCCAGGCGCTAATGCTGGCGTTAGGCGCTAAACGGCTTTTTTTTACCCATTTTCTAAAATCAGATAAAATTTAACTGTACAGGAGGATAAAATCGTATTTTCCTCAAAAACACTCTTTTATTCTAATTAAAATTCCATAAAGTCAACAAAAGTCAATTTATCAATGCTAATCGAATTAGGAATGAAAAAAACCTTCTAGAAGAATCTAGAAGACTAAAACCATTCATAATTGCATTAGGAATAATAAATCCATATTAGGCCATCCCTTAGATCATTGGGCCGCATATAAGGCTCAAACTGGGCCCAGTTTAGTAATTTGGCCATAACTTCCTGAATATTCATCGAAATTGGGCTTATAATATATCGTCTGAAAGCTCTTTTCAAGCCTCATCCAACTACACTACTATTGGACCCATATAATGGACCAAACAAACTGGATTGGATGTTTTCTTAATATAGATTTTCAAAAACAGAGAGAAGAGAAAAAAGATTAAAACTATCCGCAACACTAGACTTTCCACACTTTCACTTCATTTGATTATGACTCGACGTGAAAGGTACTCATCACTGGGTTTGGTTTTGGGTAGACACATTTGGGTGTCTACAGAAGCCCCCAGTTTGACTGAGTTTGGAGAAACACAAGTTTCGAAAACAAAAGTCAAAGTATCGATAGGGACGGAGAATGACTTTGAACGTTCTGTGATCCTAAATCATTCTTTCAACGCCGATACCTGAAAACTAGCGTTAGTTAAACAAATAAAATAGTTAAGAAATGCGTATCTTGCACCGTCGAGCACATGTCTCTGAATGTAACCGATTTATTGCCGTATTGCTGTAATTCTGTATTTTTGACGACCTCCTGCAAGCTAGAGAATGTCTCCTGAAGACTGCTACGCTTATAACTGCTTCTAATTCCGCTATGATAGACTTCTGCAAGCTAGAGAACCCCATCGAAGATTGCTTCGCTTGAAACGACCTTCTAACATTTTGTAACCACCTTCCGCAAGCCTGGGAACACGATCAAAGACAACTTCACTTGAAATCACCCTCAGTTGTTTGTAACTAGGGGTGTACATAAACAGGACCGGACCTGAAAACCGACCTGAACCGGACCTGTTGGGACCGGACCTGATCCGGACCTGTAGATTCAGGTCCGGTCCCGGTCCTTGAAATTCAAGGTTTCCGGTTCCGGTCCGGATCAGGTCCAAAACCGGGGTTTTCAGGTCCGGACCTGAAACCCGGATTTTTTATATAATATATATATAAAAAAAATATAAAAGCCTAAAAAACCTAATACTTCAACTGCAACGCCTCTTCTCCTCTCACCTTTTCTCTTATCCTTTCTGATTCTCAGTATCCCCTCTTCCTCTCTAATTCTCAATCTCCCCTCTTCCTCTCTGATTCTCAATCTCACCCTTTCTTTCTGGTTCTCAACGACTCCTCTTCCTCTCCTCTTCTCTCTTCCTGGCTCCAGCATCGTGGGATTGGAGCACCGTCGTCCAACATCGAGGCCCCGTCGTCCACCATCTGCCGTCACCAGAGTATGTTTATACTTTAGTTTTAGTTGAATATAGGTTAGTATGTAGATCTAGTTTTATTTTTCACATAATTTACGATTATAATTATCTTTTTTAATGAAATTGTAATGTAAAATTATAAATTTTGTAATTTAAGTTTGTAGATCTATTTTTTCGAAATTTCTGTATTTTTTTTCTCGGATTTTCTGACAATTTATGTATAATTTGTTTTTTGCGATTTTTTTGTTCGTTTTTTTGTTTTTTGTTCGGATGTTGGATGTATGTGTGGAATCGATTTGGGTTTTTTTCTTTTTCTTTTGTTTTTCTGGGTTGTGGGTGCGGTGGATGCCTGACGGTGGTGGGTTTTTTTTTTCAATTTTTTCGTTTTTCTGGGTTATGGGTGGGTATCAATGGGTCTGGGTTGTTGGGGTTATGGTGTCTGGGTTAAGGGGGTAATTTTTTCGTTTTTCTGGGTTATGGGTGGGTATCAATGGGTCTGGGTTGTTGGGGTTATGGTGTCTGGGTTAAGGGGGTTAAGGTGGTTAAGGGGTGAGTTGGGGTAGGTGGTAGAAGGAAAGAAGCTTGTGGTGGTGGGCTGTGCGTAGGGGTGTATGTATTAGTGGTGGTGGGTTGTTCGTAGGAGGTTGTTGATGATAGTTTTTAGTCAAAACTTTGGCTTGAATAAAGAAAAAAAAAAGGGAAAATACAAATTCAGGTCTGTTCAGGTCTAAACCCGGACCGAACCTGAATTTTCAGGTCTGACCCGAAACCGGACCTGTTGATTCAGGTCCGGTCTCCGGTCCTCAAAATTCTCTAATTCAGGTCCCCGGTCCAAACAGGTCCGGTCCAGGTCCGGTCCGGTTTTGGACCGGTGTACACCCCTATTTGTAACAACTCTCCGCAAGCTAGGGAACGCTGCCGAAGATATCCTCGCTTGAATTTATCCTCATTTTTTGCTATAATATTCCAAGGAAAATTATCGAAGATCCACACTTGTCGACCTTGAAAAGCTCGCTTGAACTTTGCTTCCGTTATGCCAGTACATTGGCGCTTCTGCTGCTTTTGAACCTGTATGTCGGTGTCTTTTGCTGAATGAACCAGTATGTCGGTGCCTTCTGAATTGTGAACCATTATGAACAATTATGTCGGTGCTTTGCTACATGAACCATTATGTCGGTGCTTTGCGATGAGCGAATGCTTATGCGCTTTAAGCTAAGTGAGACGATCATTCACAAGGTCGATCACTTTGTGTAATTGTAATCAAGCCGATTACTGAATCATGTCAAATTTCTTAGAGGGGCTAACTGGTGTACCAAGGAACCCAAAATGTATTGCAAGAGATTGGAACAACCGCACTAAGTGGCTGGATAGTCTGTCGCCGCTAAAATGTTGCAAGCCTCGCATATTAGGATGTAGCACCAGACGCTGGCACTAGCACCAGGCGCTAAGACTTATCGACTGGTGCTAAGACCTGTCGCTTGGCGCTAGAGTCGGGTTTTCCATAAATACCCTTCTCTTCTTCATTTCCACTACTGCTTCTCGTGTTTTGCTCGAAAATCGCTCAGAACTTCATTTGGTTCGTTTTTGCTCGTTTCACAACCGAATTCGCTCAAATTTGTTGCAAATAAAAGCTTATTCCATCCATTTTCCCGATATATGTAAGTTTTCTTCAAACTCACTCCGGTTTTAATGAATGTCGCATGTATTTGTTCACGAATTTCTTGAAAATTTGAAATTTAAATTGCTTAATTCTGTTTGTTTATCACATTTTTTTCCATGACATTTCTTGATTATGTTTATATATTGCTTTGGGAGTAATTTGAGACTTATTTGACTCAATTTGGCGAAGAAACGAACAAATCACCATTGTTGGGCTTCTTAAGGCCGGGAAGACAATGTGGCTTGTTCTTGACGTTTTTGCTAGCAATTCTTGTCCAATTTGTCACAATAATTACTATAGTATTGCAAGAAATTGTTTGAATTCTTGAAAAATGCCGCATATGCTCAATTTGAATTTGTACTCTGTTTTAGTACTACGTACTCTATTTGCGAACATAGTATCATGCGGCTAGGCGAAACTTA